CCAGCTCTCACACAAATCGAATAACGAATTGTGGTGTATATATATTTGAACCAATATTGTGTTTAATTAAATAAATACAATCCTTTTATAACTGTCTCAACGCACATTAAACGATTGTCTATTTTTAATAGTCTACACTAAATCCTCCTAAATTTCAATCTTTGAACTTTGTTGTGAGGCATGAAAGGCACCTAAACACATTGTTGAAGTTACACAAAGTATGTAATATAGAAGGCTTTCCAATAAAAAGCTACTTTAAACGCCATCTATCATGATTTAATGTTTGCTCTTTATTTGTCTTGGCCTTCAAAAAGTTTCCCTAATATTGGATAAAGTTTTTGCCTTATTTATTATCTACAAAAGCTATGTGTTTGTAGAATTACTTTATACTTATGATTTTTTTTTAATTCTTGTATGTTGCCTGTTATCCTGTGTTGCATAGAGTAATGATGAGTATTAATATGTCCATCGGTGAGATCGGTAACATTCTTATAGATATGATTCTAGATGAATACATAAGATCTTCTAAATAAGTGGCAAAAGTATTTTTGCCCGACAGAGACAATCAACTTCAATAGTGCTTTTTAGAAGAATGATGCATCAACATCATATACGTGAAGCAAAGTATAAAAATTGTACAATACTGTATCTATTACATCTATAGTGCTAAGAAAATGTTGTGGAACATGCACATTATTCACTAAGTAAAGATTCTTCTTTTCTTACACAGATTTTAGCCAATTATGTATATTTTTACTTATTTATTGTATTTGCGTGTACTTTTTGTGACGCCCACGGAAAATAAAGGTAAATAGTTAAAATATTTTATGCTATGAATTCCATATTGTATTAAACATATAATAAGGAAGACAATTATTGTTGTTCATCGACATCATGAACCGATCAATATTAGACCACCAATGAAAACATGGAAGCACTGGACGGTTATTTCGTCCTAGTATGTGACTTCTCAGCAGTGCGCATACACAATCCCTCACGCCAGACTCAAACCTTTGACCTTCGTTTTTAATTAAAACTCAGCAATCTCGACAACCCTATTCTGATGGTTATTATAACCATTAGGAATCTTATAGCAATAAACTATTAATTAGCTACCTATTAATCACAATATTAGATTCTGTAGACAATCAGGATGAAGATTCAAGTGCCAAAGCAATCACAGATTTGTAGAAATATTACATCAGCAGACTACATCCTATATTTTGAGGATACACGAAGCTGACCGACATTAAGAGCCAATATATTATATTTGATAAAAGACATAACTTAATTGTTTCATTGAGAAGCTTATAAGCATGAGAATAGCAAGATAAGTACGATGACTAACAAAGTTTCTGGCGTACGGACAATCCTAGACACTCATGAGTTACTCAACTAGATCCCGAACATCGTCATTATATGGTACATACGATAGTGTGTTCACTTACATTGATCTGACACGAATTGACATCCACATTTTGACAGACTCAAATAACATAGCTCAAAAATATCTAAAGTATGCTTTGATTTATGATGGTGCACCTAATGTTAGTGGAGTTAAAAAAGTCGCTTACAGTAATAAAAGGGACTGTGGAAACTAACATCAGAAGAAATTAAAAGCTTAAAGTAATAATCAAAGATCAAACGAAGTCAACCATGGCATATATTAAGGACCATAAAACAGATTAGAAACTTTAGGAAACACAAAAAATAGACACACTCGTACGATAGTAGCTGATAAGGGGATTGAGGCAAATGAGGACTAATTTTCACAAATATGTATTATAATAGACAATATTTTTCAATTTCTGCACTTCATAGACGTTTATGATACTGAACTACACTAGTTCCTAGTGTATTACCACAAATTTTTATAGAGTAGATAGGATATGGTTAATATTAGAATCCAGGGACGGCGTCACCTCATATTTCTAACTTACCAGCTGGATATATCTACTATGTTGTCATACTTCACATTCATTAAAACAGTTACTAGGTTTTTTTATCAAAATTTAGAAAACTTTTAATTCGGATTCTTTTTTAAACATTGAAATTAGCAGTGAAAAGAACATCAAAAAATGGGAAATTTTAAAAGATTCACATTGATTGTTTGTATGGGAACAAATAAATAAAGAATCTATATCAGCCCAAATTTCCCACTTGTTTTCTGATAAATAAAATTTATGGTGTGTATTAATTTAGTTGTTCTAATTAATTTCTTAATTTTTTTATATGGAAATCATTTGAAATCTAAACAAAAATATCATTCCATTGTGTATAGAATGTCTAATTAGCTTATATTCATTTAATTACCTTAATTAATCAAATTTACTTGTTCATATATGAAATGATCTACCGTTGGTATAGAAAAACAAATGTTTATAATAAAAATGTATATCGAAAAAATAAACAATTCTAGATTAGTATTAGAAGGGGTTTTAGTGGATATTATAGTAATTTTAATAGTTGAGATCATGTACCAGTTGAAGCTAGACCAATATGGTAAACCTAGAAGTACTGGACGGCCGTTTAGTCCTATTGTGAGTCTCTTCAACAGTGTGCATCCACGATTGGACGAAACAGCCATGGTGATCTAGCTTCAAATGACTCATGATCTCAACTAATACAATTCTAGATTAATCTACCATAATTTATCAATAAGAGGTAGTTTTTTTCAAATTAACTTTGACTCATTCTCATTTCACGCTGATGAATGATTCTTTACAGTTATTTAAATTATAATAAATGAAAATGTACGTTCAAACTGAGCTTGTTAGTTTAAATTTGAATGCTTAGAGCGATTGGCTACAATTTTTTAATAAAGATAGAATAAGTTGCTAGTAATACGATTTAGAAAATGAAATTATCAAAGAAAATACATGCTTAATGATCTATTCAGTAAAAAAGATCATCAGCAAAGGATTGTGGAAATTGATAAACGGTAGCTGTGTACTGGATGTGCATTGCAAGCAGCTCCATACTATGAAAAAATAGCTATCCAATGGTTCTAGGTTTTCAATAGCTATTTAGCTTAGATCGCTTCGCAATCTCGATGACTAATAAGATGGTTATCTGTTTTCAGAATAGAACACAAATATCAAAAAGAGAATTCATTTCAATGAATCTATTTTCTCAGCTATACAATCTTATACAAATATTAGCTTGACATAGATTGAACACCTGTTTTGTTTTATTTGAAGAGATTAACATGGTTGTCATTTGTCTTACATTCGACTTGGTTAGGTTCCTGTTATTTCAGAATAAGTTTAATACTACTCCTTACTTTTCAGTAATTCCCCATCTTATAACTATTTGTAATGCAGCATGTTTTGAAATTATACAATTCTCCACGAAAAATCTTAAACTAAAACCTGGTCAGCATAGCCTTCTATTCGTATTAAGAAGTTTATTCCTAATTTTATTAAGGGAATGCTTGCTATAAAATAAAATAGTTTCAATTTGTTTCATAATTATATCAGTATGAATTCACAATTTATTTACATTAATAAATGAGCTAAGTTAGGAAATATAGAAGCAATTATAGTTTTATACATTTCAAGTCCCTCAGCTGAATAGTTATCTATCAAGCATGATCAGTTGAAAATAAAGTTCGGATGAAATTTATGTTATGATACAGAATACATTCTTCATTGAATTAGATAGTTACCAGTGTTACCAGTCCATTATATCAGAGTTTAAACATACCATCCTTATACTACCTCTAAGTATTTTCGGAAAAATATATCTTTATGTAAGATAATGAATGACTGGAAGTAGTCACACTGTTCCTATTTTTTTGATAATGATAATATAGGAATACAATCAAAGATTATGACAAACAAACATTATGTTTCATCAACGTATGACTATTTTAAGTATGAATTACATTAACTATGTTCATTGTCTTTTCCTCAACTACCATAATAAAAAACTGCCTGCAAACTTTTTAGGAGATATCAACAATATCTGCATTGGAAATTACATTTCTGTATTTAAAGAAAGACAGTGAGATTTTTAAAACTCATTATTAGATTTCATACCTTGGTTTCAGCTAGATATAACTTGTAGTATCCATAATAATAAAGAATATTTAATTCAGTAATCAATATCCATTTTATACACATAATGTAAAGTCAACAGTGGAGGGAGTAGACAAAACCATTTGAAAGCATTAATTATGGATTACATCTTTATAATTAACAGTTAAAAGGATAGGTGTTTAAATAATAGAGTTACGGATCTGTAATAAACAGTGTGAAATACTTTCAATGACGTATAGAATGAAATAATAATCCAAAAGGTAATCAATATAGATGCTAGGCAATCGTATTACAAACTTATCAATATTTCTATTGTTAATATAATGCTAAACCAAGAGCAATTCTCAAATTTTTAGTTACCCATGAACCTGTTATATCCCAACGAGAATTATGAATGGTAACTTTTGAGAACTATTTATGAACCAATACGATGCATATATTCCTATTGTATAATTGGTAAGTGACTAAACTATACATAATCATGTTCTTGGTATAAACTTTATTTTGAATCATAAACTATTATTATACGATTTATTGTTCTTCAATTATGCCCAGTCTATTAATTACAATCTCTTAAATTCACAGTCACTTTTGACCAGATCTTATAAAAATGTTACTTTCTATTTTATGATACGATGTGGTCTGTTTGGTTTGTATATAAACCCAGTATGGATGAAATACATGATTCATATCACAGAGTCTGGGATTAATGTTCTGGACTTAACAAATAAGGTTAGGCAGGAAGAATGACCGATAAAGACCCTAAACTGCTCGTATATAATATATATATATATATATATATATATATATATATTGTGGCATAAGGCTTTAAGTTATAACAGAACCACTCTATCCGATGATAAATCTACTTTTACTTCCAATGAGTATTTTATCATGGAAATATATACAATTTGTTGTTTAAAAATAAGAACTTCAAAATCTTTCTTTTCGGGTACTTACAATGAATTGTTTTGTCTATTCTCTTCAATATTAATGTTCCGGTATGGCTATTTGATGAATTTATATTTTAACTAAACGAATGACAATACGAAATGTAACTTTAAAAAAAAATAAAAGAAAAAGTTATTCTGATTCTGAACTAATATAAATGTAACAGTGAAATGATTGACAAACTTAATTGGATGTTTTCAATAATTAATATCAATTGAGAAAAACGAAGCAATTTCTTACGTATTTCACGACAATTAAATGAATAAGAAGTGATACAATAATTTTCTTTTTCTACAAAATGAATCACAAATGGCTTATTTAAGTTATTTGTTGTATGGAAATAATAGTTAGGATCATTCATTATTGAGATCCAAGGCATTATATAGATTAATCAACATGAATTTTATAATGATATATAATTGGTTGATAATGTTTGAATTGTTTAATTATCCGATGATGATAATCCTTTGGTTCTTGTTATATTTGAAACTGAACACCTATGCTTATCAGTATATTTAATAATTAAGAAACCATTTTCATTAATGACGGATGAAATTTTATTAGAATTACATAATGATAATAATAATTGTTTTGTACGATCACGAAATTTTTTACCAGCAACACAATAAAATATCCAATTAGTACATGTAGTCAATAAGCATAAACTACGAAATAAGTAGTATAGAAATTTATGCATATTATTATCAATACTATCTACAATGAAATTTAAATATAAAAAATAAATAAGTAATGGACATACACTAGCCATATAAACAAAATTCATACATAATAATAATGGTGTTACATGTGTATGACTATCTTGTGTAATATATTTACGTTTATTTAACTCTGATGTTGTTCGAATGTCATTCATTGAACGAATTGTCTGATTATTTATAGTCAATATACTTTCTTGATTTGATATTAAACTTTCTGAACAACATGATTTCTTTTCATTATGTATATGTATTTCACTGTCTTCTGGATAATGAATTTTACATAAATCACTGATATTTCTCGTTGTATGAGATGAACAATAATAATTATTATGATTATGATTATTAGATTGATTCATTTTCATTTTAGATTGAATCGTTTTATTTGTAAGCTTATTTCTTGCTAATAAATTACGACAAATAATTCCTGTACATGTAGTCATAACAAATACTGGTATTAATCCCCAAAATATTAAATCACATAATGTTGTTAAACGAAATATTTTTTCATTAATTGGATCACAATCATTATTAATAATTTGCCAATATAATGGATATGGAAGTATTGGTATAATTAATAAAATCGATATAATAATTTGATAAATAAATAATTTTGTTAATGAAATCCATTTTGATTTAATTTTTAATGGATATAATACAAGATAACAACGTTGTATTGATAAAATACATTGCATATATGCTGACCAATATAATAAATAATTTGATAAACTTGTATGAATAATACATAACCAATTATTATAATCTCTAATATCAATTTTATACCATATTTTTAATAACATCCATATACCTTCAGTTATTAATATTAAAAAATCACTAATACAAATACTTATTAACCATATTAATAAATTAGATGAAAATATTTTAGAATATAATAAAAATAATAAACAAAATATTGATCCAAAAAATCCAAATGTTATTACTATGGGTAAATACCATATAAGAAAATATTTACATAAATAATCATATAAAGTTATATTAATAATTAATGATTGTTTTAATAAATTATTATGATTTGAAATGACATAACTATAATTCATTGTCTTTTAATTGATTGATCAATTCATTGATTGATTGATTGATTGATTAATTGATTTTTAATTGATTGATTGATTTTTAATTGATAGTTATTGTCTGTGATTTATCTTGTTTACTTATAATTAGAATTAAGATCATTAAAACATATATATATATATATATATAATTCATAATTTATATTCATTATATATAAGGAATTAATATCATTTTAATAAAGTTTGATATGAAATTTATAATCGAATTCATGATAGTTTCTGTTTTGTTTTGTGTTGTTTGTTTATTTGTTATTTATGTAGTGTACTATGTGAAAAGTAAACTCTTACTTTTATGCAAAAAAATCTTTTTTAAATAAGAAATACGAGTAGATTTTATCAATCTGTTTTTTGATTAGATACTGTATTTGACCAATGATAATCATTATTTTTTTTAAAACAATAATAATGTAATACTATTGGATAATTTTATGAATAAAAAAACTACTATCAAAAGGGGTTTTGTGGAGATTTTAGAAATTTCAGTAGTTCAAATCATGAGTCAATTAAAGCTAGACCATCATGGAAAACCTGGAAGCACTGGACGGCCATTCCGTCCTATTGTAGGACTCCTTAGCAGTGCACATTCACGATCCCACCCCGCGAGACTCGAACCCAGACCCTATCAGTCTCGCGTACGAGTGCTTATCCATTAGATACTGAATCGCATCCAACGGTGTTAATGTCTTACTTCAACCAATCCACGAAGTTGCGCCACCGTACACCATTGTCTTCAGTGAGTTCCTATCTCACAACAGATCTGGTTAAACTCCACTGGTAACGGCTTCTCACTAGAACTCCAGGAGTATCTCTTGAAGTCAATCGCTAATGAGCAGGGTTCTAGTTGGTTAAGTGCTTTGCGCGAGACTGATAGGTCCTAAGTTCGAATCTCGTGGGGGGCGGGATCGTAGATGCGCACTGCTGAGGAGTCCCATACTAGAACGAAACGGTCGTCCAGTGCTTCCAGGTTTTCCATGGTGGTCTAGCTTCAATTGACTCATGATTTCAGTCAGTGAAAAAAGTTATTATTTGTAAAAAGTTAGTTGGATAATCTGATGATATTCGAGATGAATGGTATACATCAATCATGGAGTGTAGTTTAATTCAGATAATGAGTATCAAAGAGAATTAAAAATGAGTCCTCGATTTGACTACTAGCTACTATTCAGCTTTGCTTATTAGTGATTGAGACTTTAGGTTATATCGAGACAATCTGTACAGGATTTATGTATGTCAATAAGAGACTGATCAATTACAGTCTTAAACATAAATGGGAAGATTCAAACAACTAATACAAAACTGAATTGAAATTTTCGTAATAGTTATACGTATTTTAATAGTTGCATCTATGAATTAATTAGAGCTAGACTGCCATGAAGAACTTGGACAGCTATTTCGTCCTAGTATTGGACTTCTCAACAGTGAGCATCTACGATCCCGCCCGCCGGATTCAAACCCTGGATCTGTCGGTGCGCGCTACTAAGGAGTCCCATACTAGGAGTAAATGGCCGTCCGGTGCTTTCAGGTTTTCCATGGTAGTTTAGTTTTAATTGATTTATGAATTCAACTGTTAAATTACTAAAATTTGCACAAAGCTCCCTGTTGATAGTGACACGTATATTATATGACCAAGCAGAGTATTAGATTAGCTTTGTGTAAAGTCATTCAAGTAACTGTTGTTATAGAAAAATTGGTCGGGAGTAAACAGAAACGTAAGGCATATAGAAGCTTGAATGGGTTATCAAATAAATGTTCTGGATCATGTATATGAATCCTTTTATACCATTTCATTAACACTTGTGTTTACTATGCATATAGCGCTACACTTCCTTCACATTTTACAGTATTCAAATCTCAAAGTAACCTTTATTGGTCATTTGAACGTTTCTGATAATCATAAAGTCTTATAAAAGTTACTTGCTTACGCCTGTTATTCCACATAGATCATAGGCCACAAATCATGATTTTCTAAACTATCCTATTCTGGGCTCTCGTCTCTAGTTCTTTCCAAGTGCTGTTCATTATTTAGATGTGTTCTTTGATCTGCCTCATAATCAATTAATATAGGTTATCAAACAAGAGTCAAAAGTGATATGACTTATTTTTATTCAAATGGGCAACAGTTATTAAGTTATAGTATGACCACCGAACACTCAAACATTCTGAGATAACAGAGCACTAACAATGAAATCAATCTAGCACATGAACCAGCAAAATCACTTTAATCAATCCCATGCAAACTAAAGACCGAAATAAGAAAAGAAGAAAAACCAAACATCGTCTATAAAATAAACTGTTTCGATTGCGAAGAATATTAAATGCGAAAAGTGGACCTCCGCCCTTCATTTTCTCCTGGAAGAACATCAATTAGCGATCAAAAACTATGACATGTCTTCGCTTATCTCCATTTATATGGACAACTGTGGACATGCATTCGACTGAAATGTTGAATAGAAAGAATACTATAATCACCTGAGAGTTTTCGAAAGCTTAGCACTCAGGTCAATCAGCAGTCGTCAAGCACATTGAAATCGATTCAATTTATCAACCGATTAGAAAAATCATGGGCTAAGAATCAGGGTGAATGGAGATAAAATCAAAAAAAGGATGCAGATAATGACAACTTAAAGGTCAGTAATGACCAATCAAGTTTGACAGGATGAGATGTCAGTTATATTTGAAGAAATTCGAATACTTCACTTCTACCTGAAGTTTGTCCTGATGCTATTGTTCAGAAGAATAATGAATGCCCGTCTGTGACACCAGCCCAGGGAACGAAACCCCATCAAATCAACCACCTGAGCTAAAAATCTCCACCATCTGAGTGTACATCCTTTTTGTGCTAAATACACAATCCTCAAGTCTAACTTTTGACCTGTTATTATTGAATTTCTCAATTAAACGAAACAACTAAATATTTTAGAAAAGATTTCCACTGTCGACACTGTATGTTGTTAGTGTAGGATCCAAAAGTTTATACTGATAGAAAAATAAACAACTAAAGGATTACACAATCAGGGTGTTTATGTGCTTACTTCACGATTAAAAATTGCAGAGCTTTATTTTATCTCGTCTTTAAGGGCTTAGAAAATAATAATCTTAAACTATAAATAAGTGGATATTCACTGACCACTGACTTTCCAAGGCACAACAATTGGATTATTTTCATGAAGAAGTCTACAACATGATAAACTTCATGTCTGCTAAAATTCAGGCTACAGGTTATTAAAATAAACAACAGAAGGTTTATGAAAGTTATGGAATATTAGTAAATCAATTGCATTCCACTTTATTCCATCAAAACATTAAAATTAAGGTTTAGTTGTTATAACAAATAAACGCTAAGACAAACACTTTATTTAAGTGTCAGAAGTGTGCTTTAAGAAAACAATAAATGCAACTCGAGTAAAAAATTAATAAAATTAGTGCTTGCTTTTATGGTACCGAATTGTGAAATGTTCAGAAATTTTGGGTTTAGTAATGAAGATAACGTTGAGACAATAAATGCAATAGATAATTGGATGAATTAAAAATAAACTGATTTTATCCCGTTTGCATGAAATAACTGATGAAATCGATGGTAATTTCAGTGGTTGAGATCATGAGTCAATTAAAGCTAAACCATCATACAAAACCTGGAAGCACTGGACGACCGTTTCGTCCTATTGTGAGACTCCTCAGTAGTGTGCATCCATGACACCGCCTCGCGGGATTGGAACCCAGGACCTATCAGTCTCACGCGTGAGCGCTTAACCGCTAGACCAGTGAGCCGGCCGGCATCTCGCGGAGGGCGGGGTCGTGGATGCGCACTACTGAGGAGTCTCACAATGGGACGAAACGGCCGTCCAGTGCTTCCAGGTTTTTCACGATGGTCTAGCTTCAAATGACTCATGATCTCAACCATTGAATTTGCTATAATACCCACAAAAACACTTCTGAAAGAGATAGTTTCAACGAAATATACTACTAAAGACATGAATGTTTCGTGTAGTAAGTTATTTTCTTACTTATTCTTGTTAGTCATATGAAGAAATTTAGGCAGCCCAGCAGTATTCTTTATAGTACTCTGAATATGTAACTTTGAGTAAGAAGGTCAAGGTTAAACTGATGATCTGCTATAGTCTGTATTGTACAAAAATATCTGATATAAACTTTATTTGATTCAGTTTTTTAAACTGCAATTACGGGTGAATGATGATTCTAGTGGAATTACATGTCTAGAGTTGACCAGGCTTTTGTCGCCAAATCAAGTCTAAATCAACTTTATTTTAAATTATGTAATGTAACCGCAAGATACTCAACATCGATTGGTCGGATACCATCAGCAACAGCCTTCTGTGGGAGAAAAAAAACCAGCTTCTAGCTGAAGAAGGAATTAGGAAAAGACGTTGGAAGTAGATAGGATATACATTACGGAAATCATCAAACTGCATCACGAGACGAGCCCTAACTTGGAATCCTGAAAGGAAGCGGGAAAGGGAGATGCCAAAGAACACATTACGTCGGGAAATAGAAGCAGATATGAGAAGGAAACAAACAACTGGAAAGGATTTTCCAGGACAGGGTTGAATGGAGAATGCTGGTGGGCGTCCTATGCTCCTTCACTAGGAGTAACAGGTGTAAGTAAGTAAGTTAACCTTGACAGTGATATTTATTAAGAAATCAATCATTTGTTGTATTATCTCATTTATCAGTTTCCGATGCATGAGTTAAACTGTCATTCAAATGAATTAGGGTGATTCACCTTGGGTTTCTAAAATGCCTTATATATACATTTACTAGCATAAAATTGTTTACATTTGTAACATATATTAAAATGAAAATAAATGTTTTTCAAATTTATTCATTCCCATAAATAGAAAGTTATTCACATTCGGTTAAATTTCTCCTTCGTGAATTATGAAAATAGGTTAATAGTTTAATGGTCATCATTAGAGGTCTATATTAATCTAGTTTTTTAGTACCAAATGCTATTTGGTAATAATGGTGATGTTTTTATATCTACATCTGTACTGAATAAATCTAAAGTTATAAATGTTATTGAAGAAATATTTCACATGGCTTCTTTATTACCAGTTTAAAATTAGTACTTTTATCATACACTATATGGTTATTAGCTTAAAAGACTTAAACGAATTGTATAAATGGGATTCTATTAAACATTGCGAATGGTATATACTATCGTGAACTTGGAAATTTGTATAAGGACATACTTAGATGTTATATAATTTATTTTGTCTATTAGAAACTAT